TGTGATCCAACACTGACAGGACTATCTGTTCTTCCTGCTCCACCTAACTTGCTGAGTTATCTAGTGGGAATCTGAAATTAGAGGTTTTTTGTGTTTAGAGTGCGTGGAAGTGAGAACTCATTGACTGAATCTGTAAAAACAGGAAGCAGTACAATCATCTGTTAGAAAAAGCCCCCTGCTAGTTAACTTTGAGGAGAATGTAATTCAGGAAGTAACTTCTGAATTTGCATAGAGCCTGGAGTCACTGAAAATCCGAATGCAATAGCTCGTTGCATGCTGAATGGTGGATAGTTCATACACATTTAGTGTTTTAACTTACTGATGAGCTGCTCTGTAGCCAGTTGGAATAGAAAGTGGTGTAATAATTACAGTAGTAAGTAAGCACCTACTAGTGCATACATAATTTATTTTTGAAACTGATATTAGAAAGTATCAGAGGGGTAGCCATGTTAGTCTGGATCTGTAAAAAGCGACAGAGTCCTGTGGCACCTTATAGACTAACAGATGTATTGGAGCATAAGCTTTCGTGGGTGAATACCCACTTCATCAGACGTATTCACCCACGAAAGCTTATGCTCCAATACTTCTGTTAGTCTATAAGGTGCCACAGGACTCTTTGTCGCTGATATTAGAAAGTAATTAAAAAATGCAACAAAGCTACTCTACTGCTCAGTTTTTCTATGAACACCAGTTTTGTATTAAAGAACCACTCTGGCTGACACACTCCTTCCACCTGATATTTTTTCTTTTCCAAATGAGAGGGAGAGGACAGAATATCAGCTGCAGGAAGCTTCAATGTACGCTGTGGCCATTCACTTTAGTTAGGCTGTCACTGTCAGGGTTCCCTTTCCGTTCACATCTAATAAAGGTCTTGTTACTGTCAGGGAACTTAAAGTGTGAGTATGAAAAAAATGAGTGGACATCTACTTCCCAGAAACTGGCAAGGGGAAAAATAGGGAGAGGGGCAACACCCTGGTAAGAGGCCTATGCCCCAGCTTCTTGGGCGAGAGTTACTCCCAGACACTCTCCAGGGACTCCACTTTTTGGATTGGTCATTGGTTAGCAGACGTGTAAGTTTGAAGACTCACCCCTTTCTGATTGTAGAGGGAGAAGGAAAGTCTGGTCTCTTTTTCCTTCCCTTCTCTTGTGTTCTTTGGAGGTACCGAGATTTGTCTTTGTTACTCTACCTCTTTCCCACCCTCTATTTTTGGGTGCCCTCAGAAATAGCTCCAGTGATTCGCTCTGATGCTCAGCATTCCCAAGCAATAGCACTGTGAAATTGGCTTGATTCTTATGTTTGTGTTGTCCACAGAATTCCGCATAGCATCAGTGAGCAGAATCTTGTTAATTTTGTTGGATCTGCTTCAGAAAGCTAGGTGTAGCAACAGAGGCAGGGGAGCTGTTTGTAAGCTCAGAAAGACATTATTGCATGAGCTCAAATTTGAAATGTCAATTTTTCAAGCCATATTAAAGGGTATCCCCGTGGAAGTTCTGTGGCAATATTTTGTATCATGAGTCAACTTTGTTTTGATTCTCTGGAAAGCCTCCAGGTCCCATATAAATATACTGCAGAAGTCATTGGCTAGTGAAGCTAAAAACCCTGTGCATTTTGCTACCACAGTACAAATAATAAATAACAGCTTCCTATTCTGGTTGTTACTTGTCTTCTCTCTGTGTTTCCTCTCTGTGGGTTTGTACCCAAGTGGGCTGAGACTTTGTTCCTCAGTCATGCCTACCAGATCAGCTATTATGTCTTTGAGCTTGGCTTGAGGTTCTCCGTGCTATGTTAAGATGCCAATCACTATTCAAAAATCTATTTAATGCCATTTGAGTCTAATGGTATTTTTAGATGAGGCCCTTCTTCTCCCTGTGTGTTTAGTCTTATTAAGTGTGCTACATGTTTTGTAAGTGCCCTACTTTGGTCTGTAGTGCTCCCAAGTGTGCATCTTATCTGTCTTGGAGCTCTGAGAAGATCTTACAGATTTGGGGAGGCCAGGTAACTCACCTTCTCTGCTAGTGGGTCTACTGAATGTGATTTGAAAAATTATTTCAGGGGAGAGAATCTTTTCTTATGTTAATTGCATTCTCACTAAATGTACCTTCACAAGTTAAAAAATGTATTAAAATCCTTTAAGTGGTGGTTTGATTTCCGAATCTTCATGTGCTGGAACAAAAGCTTTCCATACAGCATTTTGTCGTATGCGTAACACCTGCTGTGTCAGCACACAACATGGTTAAGGCATAATTCCTATCTGCAAAACCTGACCACAGGATCACTTACTTCCTAAGAGAGTTCCTGAGACCTTATTTTCAGGATGCATTGTTTCTGCTATTGGCGATTGAAAGAATAGGGGAGGTTATGCCAGATTATCCTGGAACAGTGGTAGAGTCCACAAGGTACCACTACTTACTTTAATCTAGGGTGACCAGATAGCAAGTGTGAAAAATCGGGACGGGGGTAATAGGTGCCTATATAAGAAAAAGCCCCGAAAAATCGGGACTGTCCATATAAAATTGGGACATCTGATCACCCTACTTTAATCAGATACACTTGAGAGGTTTGCTTCTCCAGCTAGGTCATTGGTTCTTGCCATACATACTCTGAGCCCAGTCCTCTGAGGTTCTGGGCACCCAACTCCCACTGGGTCAGTCAGAATTGGATGCTCTACACCTTGCAGGATTAGACCTTCTGATGCAATTCAGCTCTGGACAAGCTGATTGGAAAGAGACTTCTCTACTGAAATATTAATGCAAATTTGGATTTTAAACAAAGATTCACTCAGTTCTTCTGCCGATTTCCCTGCAAAATGAGGGTACTCAAGACTTCACATAGCTGTCGCTGATGCTAATGACAAGAACAGACAAACTGTCAGCAACTGGTGTCTAGCACGTATAATACTCTACAACATTTACAGATATTACCGTGAATACTTCAGAATTTAGTACTGTGGAGAACTCAAAAGTTTTTTTGAGTGTGGGACAATGGGAAAAGTCAGAAGTAACAGAAATTTCTATGTAGTATTGCAGGGGCTGATGTTAGCAAATTCTGAGAAAGCAAACTAAGAGTAACTCTTGCAGTTGGAGTTGCAGAAAGACTGTGCTTCCAGTCAAAATTCTATACTGAAGTTGGGTACTTCTTCCTTTGGCAGTTTATATGCCTCTTTCACACAAGCCATGGTGCTTTAAATGCTCATTGTCATTCTCCCAGGTAACGTATGTTAAGGAGGGCTTTTACTTCAAAGGCTAAGGAATGAATAAAGAGTGACTAAATATCACCATGCAGCACTTTCATTATGTTACATACTTTCCCAAACAGAATTCATTTCAAAAGAGGCATGGCATTCGGAGTTGTGAAAGTACATATGTGTGTTCTTTTCTTTTCTTTTAATAATCTGTTTACCACAAATGCAGCCCTGTTGTACAGAATAAAAAAACCTACTGCATCTTTTTGGGTTACTTGAAGCTTTTAGGACAAAAAATACTTCTCATCTTCGGTTTGCTATATTACATTTCCCTTCTTTTAATCTTGAAACACAAACTGTAGAACACATCTAGCTATATTTTGGCCCTAAGCCCATTTAAAGAGGAACTTGGTTTGAATGCAAACAGCAAGATAATTGGGTACTGTCTTCTTTTACAAGGAGCTTATGTAATAGTTTGGGCTCCATGACCAGCCTATTCAAAAATTCTCTTTATTTAAAAAAATATTTTAAGCGTACTTCCCTCTTTGAGGATTAAAGTGTAAATCCAAATAATAACCAAGAATTAATATTCTGCTTCCGCGTAGCTCATTTCATCAGAGTCTGAGGGGAAGCACCTTAGCAGGTTCTATTGAAGTCAATGGAGCAATGACAATTTACACCACTTGAGGCTCTGCTCCTGTATATGTCTTCTAAAGGTTTATATATACCCCCATTTTACTGGTATATGTGGATGCTTTAGAATGATGCAAGAGGGTAAGTGGGTCTTGAGAGCATACTTAGCGCAAATAGAATATTGAGGAAATTCAGGAGGAAACTTAAAACAAGTTCTTCAGTGTATGCTCAAGTGGCAATTTTCTGTGGCTTATATATGTTTACTTGGCCAAATCCAGATGGGTTTTCGTGGGGACAGCAAAAGAGACCTGTCTGGTTTCAAGAGCCTCTGTCTGCCAGATGGTAATATCCTGCTCCAAAGTCTTGAGGCACTAGAGCTCTTAAAAAAAATAAAAATAAACAAACATTGGCAAAATGACTTTTTTCCCACTAACTTCCGTCTTAGAAATGGTTGTACCATTTCCACTGAATTTTTTTTTCTTTTAAGATTTCAACCTGAAGACAACACCAGCCATGGAAAAACTTCAGACCCAATGGTTAAAATTTGCTGAAGTTATAAGTAATTGAAAACACAGGATGATAGGAAATCTTAGGCAACCTTAACCTATACATGCACATGTATGTAGAAGAAGTTTAAGCCTGATGCAGTGTAGAAGAGGAATCAATGGAGAGATCCAAAATAGGATTCACACTCAAAGAAGAACCCTTAAGAATGCTCACTCAAATTAGCCTCTGGCCATTTTCTATCAAACACAACACATATTGTTAGCAGTTCCTCTTATATTTGTTAGAAAATGATCCAAAGCTAATTTGAGTGAGCAGGTATAGCATTAGGGAGCCTTTGTTTAGTGTGAATCATGGTTTGGATCTCTCCACTGATTTCCCCTTCCTCTACTGCATCAATCTTAAACTATGAGTGAGAATCTGGCCCCATTGAGATCAATGGGAGTTTTGCTCTGGACTTCTCTGGAGCCAGGAGTTTACCCTTTGTTCTGTCTCCAGAAACCTATGTTCTCCTCCTCTATTTTCCAGTCTGTCTTCACTAGTCCACTCCATCTGTTAGCCTCCATGCCCTACTCATTCTAAATCAAATAGGAAGAGCTGCTTCTGTGCCATTTGAGTGTAACTGATGCTGAAATCAGTTCACAACCCTAGTGCTCTATATAAGTCTAGTGTGTTTTTTAGTTTCAGAATGGCTGCGGTTATTGCCGTTCCTGGGTGTCCTGGCACTACTTGGATACCTGGCTCTTCGTCCGTTCCTCCCCAAGAAGAAACAGCAGAAGGATAGCTTGATTAACCTCAAGATCCAGAAGGAAAATCCCAAAGTAGTAAATGAAATAAACATTGAAGATCTGTGCCTCACTAAAGCAGCTTACTGCAGGTGTTGGCGTTCTAAGACGGTAAGGTGCTTTATAGCAACGCCATAGGGCTATGGAATTAACTTATTATTGTCAGTTCTGGTTTCTGTGAATTGGAGCACATTACTCCCACCCTGAGGCTGGACAGGTTCATGGGTTCTCTAAGAGTTGTGCAGTTCTTTTTCTCCACTCTAAACCTATGCAGGAGAGCTTAGAAACCTACAAGCCACATGATGGTCTGTACTGTGCACAATCCTGGACCTATGAAACTTTCCCAATGAAATGTTTTGTTAAAACAGATCCTTTTATACAAAACGTTTAGCTGAAACAGCGTTTTCCAATGGGGGGGCAGGGGAAAAGGTTTCATCAAAACTTGACCAGCTCTGGAATGAACCTTAAAATACATTGGGTGCCTCTGGATTTAGCTGCTCCTCCATTGGGCTATTTTGTCATGGAGAAAGCTTTATTTTTTTTTTTAAATACACTTTGTAGCTAGGAGCAGATGTTCTTAATGCTTTATGCTTCTGTATGGAGTTTAATTCCTCAGCAGCAGCAGTCTTCTGACTGACCAGTGCCATATAGGGAAGATAGGGATTGCTAGGATGTTAGAAAAGAACAATAGCAGCAAACTTAAAAAAAAAAATTCTTTGTAAAATGCTCTTAAACTCCACCCTGATGCAACATGCTGTCTTTGGCACATCTAAATGGGTATGTATACAGTAACTCCTCATTTAACGTTGTCCCACTTAACGTTGTTTCAATGTTACATCCCTGCTCAATTAGGGAACATGCTCGTTTAAAGTTGTGCAATGCTCCCTTATAACGTCGTTTGGCTGCCTACTTGTAAGATTCTGTGGAAGAGCAGCGACTTTACAAGGGAGCATTGCACAAGTTCCACTTCTCTGCCTCCTCCGCTTCCCCCACCGCCAAATGTTTGGCGGCGCTTAGGACTTTCTGGGAGGAGCGGAGACGCAGGGCTTCCCCGCTCCTGCCCCTCCCTCCCAGAAAGTCCTAAGCGCAAAGTGCTGGGAGGGAGGGGGAGGAGCAGGGAAGCCCCGCGTCTCCACTCCTTCCCCTCCCTCCCGGAAAATCCTAAGGCTGTTTGGCGGCGCTTAGGACTTTGTGGGAGGAGGGATGTGGTGTGCTCCAGAGAGGAGGTGGAGTGAGGGTGGGAAGAGGGGGGGCCTGGAGTGGAGCGGGGACAGGAAGAGGGGGGCCTGGAGCATTCCCGGCAAAATCCGAGCCTGTTCTCTAGGGAAGCTGCCGCTGCAAAGGTGCTTTCTAGCGTCTTTGCCTGCAGCGGGCTGTGTCTGTGTGGGATAAGCCAGGGGCACTTCCCAACCACAGTACAGTACTGTACAGTATCCAGTATAATGCCTTTTGTCTGCCCCCAAAAAATTTCCTTGGAACCTAACCCCCCGCATTTACATTAAATCTTATGGGACAATTGGATTCGTTTAACATTGTTTCACTTAAAGTTGCATTTTTCAGGAACATAACTACAACGTTAAGTGAGGAGTTCCTGTACTGTGCAGAAAAAGGGTATCTAGTCTAAAGCTGCCCAGACTTTAATACTGAGAGCTACTTTGTTAACTGGCTGGAAGTGAAAGGACTTTTAACTTGTCTATTAAATATACAACACAATCATAATCTTGTATCCCTATCTCCTCTGAGAAATTAAGATTAATTACTACTTATTTGTCAGAATCAAATCTGCAGCTGGGTCACATTGTCCCTTATCCTTTAGCTTCATGGAAGGAGTGGCAACAGCTCTCATTTAGGGGATGATGTGTTGCATTTGGTTCTTAAGCAGTGGTTCCCAAACTTTAACAACCTGTGAACCCCTTTCACTAAAATGTCAAGTCTCGTGAACCCTCTCCTAAAAATGAATATTTCCAGGGATTTTCTCCTTTACCTTAGTATAAATTATAAAAGCACTGATCTTAGAAATATAAAATTTGTTTTTTATTACATGCTTATTACACATTATTAATTTATTTATCATTACAGTATTTTTATTACATTATGAAAAGAGCAACACTCTTCCAAGATCTCACTTTCGTAGCTTAGGAGTTCCTCCTACATAAGCATTCAGGTCTTGAGCAGTCCAGGCAAACACACATTACAACAAAGCTTAAACTTGTTCTTCATAATAATTTTTAAAACAAATACTAGGTGCCTATTTAATTTTAAAAACAGCAAAAAAATATCCACTTCCCTTTCCATTTCTTATAAGGAGTCTTGAAACCTCCTCAGTGTGATAGATATGCTTGCTTTGATCTGCTTAGCTCTTGGAAGTCCAGGGGCTCCGGGCTCCTGCCCGGGGTTCCTAGGGACAGCTCTGTCTTCCTTTAGGGAATTTTTTCCCCAAGAACCCCCTGTAACATTTCACGAACCCCAGTTTGGGAACCACTGTTCTTAAGTTACACTCTGAGCATTTCTGACCTATAGGCTTTTTTGTTGTCATTTGAGTTGGAGTCTTGATCTCATTCCAACAATATGGATTATCCTCTACACAAACGACCACCACTTGTTTTAGTTGCTTGCAGAGCTTTTACTAACCACAAAAGCTGTACAGTAAATACACTAATCATTCTTGTCTTTTCCAGTTCCCTGTCTGTGATGGCTCTCACAACAAACACAATGAATTGACAGGCGATAATGTGGGTCCACTAATACTCAAGAAGAAAGAAGTATAGAGAATCTCTAATCCATTAAATCACGACTGATGTGAAGTCATTTATACACTTGTAATTGCAGGACACAATGTTTTATGTACGTTGTGGCATTTTTAGTCTAATGGTTGCTGTAGATTTCCTTTTGGTTTAACCTATAGTTACAGGCAAGTGCTAGACCTAGGTCTGTGATTTGATACTTTGTATGTTCTGAAGAATCATGTCTTGTGTAAAACTGTAAAGTAAACATCTTTGTAAATAGGCCTTTTTATCTGAACACAATGACCACTCCCAATCTTACAATTAAATCTTTTCAGTATGAACGTGATGTAATAAAAACCATACTACTCGTAAAGGGCCAGATGTATATCTTTCCATTGCTTTTATTATAGGCGGTGATGCTTTTAAGGAAGAATGAAGACTGCTTTTCGGGGGGGAGGGGGGTGGAATCCTGTTTTTGTCCTACTTAGTGGGCCAGATCTTCAGCTGGTATAACACAGCTCCATGGACTTCAATTGAGCTATTTTAGTTTACACTAGCTGAGGATTTGGCCTAATGTGTGTAATTGACTAACTCTTCTTTTTGCCATACCAATCCTTCCACCCTGACCTGCTACACAAAATATATTGTAAGATGTAGCCATGTCAGAGGAACAAAAAATTGTTCCAAAGAGTATGGAAAAAGAAAACTAATAGCCAACATTATAGAAACAGGTCGTCTGTATTCTGATGGCCGGAGGGAGTGCAGATGCCCACATCAGTTGATTTGTGCAGTAATCCTAGACTGTCTTCAAATTAAGTCACAGTTGAGGTTAGCCAGCGATACTTACAGTACACCCTTATTTCAGGACTCCAAACTTAGCAGTTTGCCCCTTGCAGATAATTCTTACCCGCATGATGCACTTTTACCCAATATGAAAGTCCCAGGGACGGAGCAGGATCCACTGTTTAAATCACAGAACTGGATTCAAGGTGTGATCTTTATTCCTGTCTTTACTACTACATCACCCAGGATAAGTCACAACCTCCCTGTGTCACCGTTTCATCTATCAGTCTTCAATAAATAATTCTTACCTAGCCCACAATGCTTATCAAAAGCTTTGATCCTTCAATGAAATGCACTACAGGTCAGTTGTTCAAAGCCTAAAGAAAAACTTAACAGATGACAGTGCCACAATCTGCATTCTGTAGAGTTAGACATTAAGGCCCCCTTCATACTAGTGATTTTTTTCACCATTGACACCAATTTACCTGAACCAGTGCTAGTAAACTTGGAAGCCCAAGTGCAGGCAGCCTGATGACTGCCAACACCATCCTCAACCTCATGTCAGAGAAATACTGCATTCAGACAGCAGCTTATCTACACTACAGCTTCTCTAATGGTGGGGAAAAAAATTTCTAATGTAAACTTAGGCCCTGTCTATAACAGGTGTTGCAGTTCTAGATTTAGTGTGAGGTGCTAAAAGGGCCTGGCTGTAGTAGACCATATGGCATTTTATAGGACAGTGTTTATAAAATGTTGGGACACTATGGTTTTAACATACTTGGTCTACCAAACCATATAATGGAACTGGAGTACATACCCACTGTAAGGTTTTAATACTGTTACATAACATAGTTTGGACTTGTCCTGATAAAGGCAAGGCCAAATTGTGTCACAGAGTACTGTGCAGTTAGAACATGGTGATATTTCTAGTGTAGAGGAACCTTAAGATTACTATGTATATTGCCTGTCTACTTTAGTTAAAAGAATTACTATTGAGTCAATAGTGGAGAATTATTATATAAAAGTAATAAAATAATTTGAACTGAAATCTTTAAATCAAATCAAGATTGGGCTTGAACTAGACTATAGCTTTTAGAGAGACATCTAAGTTATTGGGCTTGATGGAAGAATTACTGGGTGAAATTCATGGCCTGTATTGTTTAAATGGTGTTTTCCACCCTTAAAATCCACAAGCTATCAAAAGAGGCTGGTTACATTATACAAGTCCATTTGCACTTCCAGCTTTTATCTAGTAACTCAAAACTTTTGCATCCAAGTAATTTGATTTACTCATTTGTGAGAAGTACACCGTATGCATCAGTCCACTCTTTGTAATGAAGATTGAGGTAGAGTACAAGAAGCACAAAGTTAGTTATTTGCCAAAAATCTGTTGGGTTTTTCCTCGAAAGGCTCACCTGAAGGAGAACAGCAGTAGCAAACAACATGCACTTAATGCAACTGCACATTAAAATAACTTAAATACATGACAAAATACTTTTGCCTCTTGGCTGTCAGTTGAGGTTGCTGAAGTATCTTTAATATCTAAACCAGTTAGAAGTCTGGCCCCCGAACACGTATGGACTGTTTTTCTTGATTTTTCTTTTTAAAAATAGCGCAGCACAAAGCTTTATTCTGAGTATTGCACCTGTACCATATGCAGGCAGTGCATGTGAAAGCAGCAGTCCATCTCATTTCTTTTCCACTTCCTTTTCTGGCTGCTTCTATTGCCATTTTAATTCAGCAAGATACTAATAAAGTTAAGCTCTGAGGAGACATTTCAAATCCATAAATCTTTATGGATTTTGAAATGCAAGAGACTGCCTCATCTGTCCTGGTTCAAATCCCATTGAAATCAATGGGAAGGCTTCAGTGGGTTTTGGATCAAGCTTGTTAGAGAAGAGACCTTCAAATCAAAAGTATACAGGCTTGCATGTATTCCTGAACTTGCAAACATGTCATTTTGGTTCTGCAAATGTATAGCCAACCAGACAACTACAAATCTAAAATAAAGAAAGCTGACAATATTTGAAGATAGTCTTTAGACAGTTTTGGTGTGAAAGCTTCACTGTTGAAAAACCTGAACCAGGAATGATTTCACGTTAGTGCATCAAGTTTAACAGAGGGCTTTCTGTTTCAACCTACTACCACCTGGAGGTTGAAATATAAATGCACCAGTGCAACATGAAGGCTAATGGTATCAAATGCATCAGCAGGCTCAGGAAGCCTGTATTGAAGGGGACAACAGTAGCACTGCCACACATTACACCTCTTGTGCTTTTTAGTTTGTTGCAGCTAGATCTCTACAACTCCAGCTTTGTCCTATTTCTTCAAGACATTTTATCAATTAGAACCATTAGTGTTGCCATACCAGATCCATCTGTTCCTGTACCTAATCCTTCCTATTGCAGAGACCAGGACTGGGTTCTTCAGCTGCAGGCAATGCAGACCATAAAGTACCTAGTTAAAATGCTGTTTCTGGGCAGATGTGGGTTGGAGGAAAAATCCTTCTTGACCCTTTGACAAACAGTTTCCATCCCCAAGCATGAGACTGGGATGCTCTTATTTTAGCATGAGTAACTACAAGCATTATGAATTATACATTCTTTAAGTCTACGATGCACAAGGGAACTGATCTTGGACCCCTGAAGTCAATGGGAGCGGGATGAGGATCAAATCTGACACCTTACTGCAAAGATAGGAAAAGCCACCTTTCCAATTTCCTACTAGAATATTAGGTGGTTAGCTCTGTCCATTATTACAGTCGTCATATTTGAACATTGTTTGTGTTCTCTTCTACTGAACTTAGATGCCTTACAAATAGACTAAACAAAACAAATAATCCTCATAGTAAAATTAAAATTGGTTATTACTAGTAAAATGCTTTTAATTCTAAACCTTAATGTAGTGGCATAGTACATATCTTTAAATATTTTAAAAAACAAAATACAAAAGGTTATAAAAATGACTTGTGCTTCTTTGGTAAAAATATTAAAACCTTTTATAAAGTTATAAATATGTTATAAAGTTATAAATATGCTTTGTAATCTTAAATCAGTCACCACCAAAAGCGATCAGTCTGACAGAAAAAAAAGACAAGTAATTCCCTATATTGATATCACTGCCACAATTACAGAGCTCTGTAAATGCCAGCAGTTCACATAGCTGATTGCTGTTTTCCTGTATTCTGTCCTAATGTAGCCCTGAACACATATCAACCTACTGCAGAATATCAAGAGCACACCACGCTGTCAAACATCAGGTTTAGGCGTTTTCTTATTCGGCTTCTATAATTTCACCTGCATACATTGCTTTTACACTTTCATATAGTAAGTTTGCATCATAAAACTCCATTGTATTTTATTTTAATTGCACATTCATTTTATTTGCGGGGAACACAAGATGGCATGGTATGCTGTAAAAGGCTTTACTGACCTAAGCTTGCCTGCATACAAGTGGCAGAGCAATGAGTGAGTTATGCAAATAACCCCAGCAACCTCAATAAAACCTTGATACCACATATCAGCATTATGTACTCTGTAAACGTGACATACTATAAATAACTATTGTAGAAATATTGAAAGGATTTTTAAAACTATTATTGGGATTATGTCATTAATCCCTTTGTTGGTAAAACCTAGTTTTAGGCCTGTGCTTGAGGCCAATTCTATTCAGCAAAGCACTTAAGCACATACTAAAATTAAGTATGTGCTTAAGTGCTTTGCTGAATGGGGGCATTAGTTACCGTGAGTCCAGCTATACAGGACTCAGAGGGAAAGTGCAGGCTTAGAACATGAGCCTATGTTCCACCTTTTATCTCCTTTCATTTCACTTGACACTACTGGGGGATGCCACAAGAAGGCAGAGTCATGTCCCTCCACAACTCGCCATGACTGACTTCATGACATGGTTTTGCAGCAGCTGTTCATACACTCATGACCACTTCTGACAGCCCAATGCCAATCTCAGATGACCAGCAGCATATCAGGGCCAACAGCTATGTCCTTGCAGAGTGGCAGCAACTCTGAGATAGAGAGTCAGGCATGCTGACCGAAGCCCTAACAAACATCTACCTGTTTTCAGCCACAGATGCAGATCCTGGACTAGTCTTAATGGGCTGCTGACTGGAATGGCCAAGGGGCTGACATAGTTCAGAAATTTGGCTTAGCTCTCTCTTCACAGGGTGAGTGCGGGACAGCAATGCAGATGATCAGACACATGGTGGAGTGCACAATCAGAAGACTGGAAAATGGACTGACTGCAACACCTTGATGCAACAGTTAGATGGCTAAACATGCTAGATTGTGACACATCCTAAAGAAGAGGGAAAGTTAAATTATAATTCCTACATTTACCAACTCTCTAAAGAAATATCTTAAATAGCCTTTTGCCATATTTAAAAAAAAATGACTTTGAGTTCCAATATCTGAAATCTTACTAGGGCTAGAAACAAAATTTATATCCCCTTTGGAAAGCAGGGAATCTTCCCCTTCCCCCCCCCCCCCCCCGCCAACATTTTAAACTCTAGTTTTGCAAGGTCATTAGATATTTTTATACCTGTCACTGGTCTGGGATTTAATACAGCCATCATGGATCAGTTT